CGAAGTTGCGCTGCTTCACTTTCCAGGACTATCAGCTTCTTCCTACTCTAGAGGAGTATGCCTTCATTGTTGACATCAAGGTTCAAAATTGGGCGCATTTTGTCGATGTTTCAGAGGTTTTTAATCTTGAAACTATCACTGAGGCTCTTTATTTGAGCCTGAACGATGTGAAAGGGGGATTGGAAGCACAAAAGTGGTGTCTTTGGCTTTTCTTCCAGATTTCTGATAAATGAAAGCTAAAGAGTTTGCGAGTGAAAGAGGTTGGTTGGCCTTCAATATTGTAGTGACTATCTTCATTTATGGGAAATGTTCTCAAATGTCATGAACTTTGAAGATTGCACTGTTGTTTATCTCTTCATAGATGAAAACCTTGTGTCGACTCTGCTTGCTGATGCTTACCACTCCATTCAATCCAAGTGTGGAACGAAAGGAACCACAAACCCTAAACGATTCATCATCTTCCTCAATATCATAAAACCCTTCAAAATCATTCACAAAGAAAGAAAAAGAGGCCACAATTCACACAAAAAAATACAGAAACGACAGCCAAAAACACAAAACCCTAATTTTTGTTTCATCACTTTCCTAAACACAAACCCTTCAGAAATTGAAATCGTTTTCAAGAGATATAGAGAAAGAAGAACAAATCTCAGAGCCATCTCACCCGAAAAACAACGCAAGAAATCATATCTGAGCGCTAGGGTTTCGAAACCCCCTTTCAAGATCTAGGCCAAATCCCTCACCTCCTGCAAAATCAAAGGACTGAATTGTAATCAGAAAAGAGAGACAAAGCTGAATATATAAAAAAATTAGGAGAAGGCTGCGGCGGCGCCGCCACGATCTTCATAGCCTCCGTCGTGGAGTTCATAATCTCCGCCGTGGAGATTCATATGGACCACTGCCACAGATCTTGCGCTGATGGCTTATAACGTCTCTGTTTGGTTATCACGCAGAGAGAACAAGGGAAAGAGTAGGAGAAACTAGAGAGAGTTATGTTTTCATTTTGATTAATTTTTGTTAAACATTTCAGTTTTGTTAATTAATTGTTGTTTCAGTGGCTAACTCAAGTGGTGACATTTGTCACTGTCTATATTGTTTATTCTTTGATTTCGTGCAGCCTTTCCACCATAACAATCATACACCTCCACTCACAACCCCATGATCCATATCAGACGACCTCATAAGTGTTCCCACATGATGCACCACCACAACCTAGTCACACCGGATCTAGCAGTTCTCCAACAACTTGGACTTCCCCTTTATTTGGGCCTGGATGAAATTCCATTCCCACCCCCCAGATTTTCATATATTTTTATAATGAAAAAAATTCAATATGTTTTAAATAATTATCAATTTTAAAATAATTTTTGTTTGAAATTATTAATTAATTTTATCAAATGAAAAGAGTTTTAACTATACTAATAATTTAATAGTTTGTACTTGTATTATGTGATTTAATAGCTTGGGTGTTTTATTTCTTATGTCATCCCCATTCATAAATTTGCACTCCCGTTCCCGAAGCGTTGTAATAGCGTAGAATTTTAATTTTCGTAATTTACCGCTTTTATTTATTATTGTATAATAATTAAGCATGTATGAAAAGATTTAAAATCAATTGCTAGATAACTCTAATCAAGACAAATTAACTGAAATCAGCACACTTTGCACACATGCACCTCTAGGATAAATATCACTTGCTACATCGGATAAAAAACAGTCATGTCCCTCGAACGTGGGACGCTTTAGCAAAAGACCCTCGATTAAAATATCGTAGCCTCTCAATGACCCCTCGATGTTGCCTTCAGTAAACGACCTTAGTCACTTACGACAATTGCTAAAACGTCTTACAAGTTGCCTTATATGACTATACGATGACCCATGCCTGTCCCTCACATCCAATGATAGGGCTTCCTACTAACTAATGATAGGATAGCACTATCTAAAGGAGGAAAAGAACAAAGACTTATTGAGTAGGTAGATCGCTCGTAATCGCTTGCTTACGAACTAAAACAATTTCCACACTTTCAACTACTTTCAAAACAACTATCTTCAAATGAACACTTTGTATACATTCTCAATGATACGAGAATCATTATAAAATTGTCCTATATTGGCATTTTCAAAACATCTTTCCAAAAACAACATTTCATTTCACAAGTATTTTCAAAACAAACATTTTGTATACATTCTCAACGATACGAGAATCATTGTAAAATTTCCATACTTAGGCGCTTTCAAAATATTTTCAAACATACACAAACACAAAGCATTTTTCAAAAGTGAGCTAGCAATTAAGAGCTCGTAGATAACTACGGATGAAAAGGGTGCTAACACCTTCCCTTTTCATAATCTACCCCCGAACTCAAGAAAATTCTCAAAAGGTCTTTCCTGTTCTTTTCACCCTTTTCTTTATTGGATAAAAGAAAAGTCGGTGGCGACTCTTGCTATTCGCAACATTTGCGATAAAATGCTAACCCTCAAGTCAGTTCTCCCACCGTATTACAATAACTAATTTTACGTGACAATTCTTTAAGCTTCTTGTGATGTTAGAAGGTCATAATTATCGTGGAATCAGTCAGCATACCTCATTTAAATCATATTTATTCGAATTGGTGTGTGTGTGAGGGAGGGGGGAGACTTTAATTATGTTCTCTTTATGGAAGAGAGGAAGAGCACAATGACATGTTCAAGAAGTATGGATTTTCATCCTTTCATTCAGTTTAGTAAAGGTTCCTTGTTAATTTATATGCCCTCATCTAGGAGACGATTCAGGTGGTTCATGGTGATGGTCACTCTATGAGCAAGGTGACATTAGCCGAATATATGTGGAATCTTATTAAAACTATTAAGGTTGACTTTAAAGGAGCAAGGAATGATAACATCAAGGAAATTTTTGTTATGGAAGTTTGAGAAAGAAATAGAGGAAAAAAGGTGAGGAATATGCTATCGATATGAGCTTGATGCGTGTTAGAAGAGCAAGTGTTAACTGTTGATAATGTGAGGGGTTAGGTGGAGTCGCAAAACACAAAGAAATTTAGTGTTTGGTAAGAGTCAAGAAACAATATATTGTTTGTATATAAGAGACTAAATTTGAAGTTGTAGAGAAATTTGTTGGTTCAGAGTTATGGGGGTTTATAGATATGAATCACTCGTTTAGACCGTTCGTCATAGCTTATGGCTAGATTCTATCCTAAAGGATATTTCTTCATTAGCTCAGAGCAAGCTCTTATTATTAGATATGATTTCAAGAATAATGATCACCACATTTATATGACAAATTCATGCTCATTGTGATGTTAAAAGGGGACAATCGTTGTGGGATTGGTTGTGCGACCTCATTTGAATCATATTCATTGTTGATTGGCATGCCTTCATCTAAGAGACAATTAATATGGGTTCATGGTGATGGTTGGTTTATGAGTAGGTTATATAAATTCTTGGTGTCCCATGGATGGAGTATACTTTGGCCAACTTGTTTACAACTCACGCTTCTCCAAGGAGACTGTTGAATCATTGCTGATTTTTATTACTTGTGGACAAAGAGAGTTGAGACCCAAAAGGAAGACTAAAGGAATGGTATCAGAAATATGGAAGGAATATTTCAGGGAGATTGGAGGAGACAAAAGCTCTCCTGTTATATTCTACCTAGATAAAATGGTAGACAAAGAAGAAAAAGAAGGCAAGTTATCTTCATATGAGTTAAAGGAGTTGTAGTTGATTTCTTTTGCAATATTTTTTTCGTTCTAGAGTTAATGTTATTATGAAGTTCTAGATGACAAGAATGCTTTGGCTTATAGATAGTGATGAAAATTCTAAATTCTTTCATGGAGTCATGATTGGTAGGAGGAGGAATAATGGTATCCATAGTATCGTCGCAAATGGTGTAAGAGTGAAAGGTGTCTTAGGTGTAATGGAGGCAATGTTTAACCATTTCAAATCCATTAATTTTGTTAGATATAGGGTGAATAATTTTTAATCTAAGTTTATCATAGGTAGCAAGGAGACTCAACTAGTTTGATTTTTAGAGGAGGAGGTAAATTTTGAATTCATTAGATTTTTGGTAAGATCTTAAATTGGATATCATAATATTTTTGGATGAATTCTTAAAATTGTTAACCTATAAAGGTTGTCAGATTTTCGACTTATTTATCTAATGAGGTGTATGTATAAGGTCTTAAAAAATATTTTGAGAATTGTTATGGGTAATATTATGTTTGAAGTTTATTATGTTTGTGAAGGGCTGAGAAATCTTGGGCGATATTGTTATTGCAAAGGAAGTGGTAGATGATGCAAAATGATGAAAAAAGAACTAGTTATTTTTAAAGTGGATTATGAGAAAGCTTACGACTAAGTAGAATATGGGTATTTAGATGTTATGATGGAAAAGACGTACTTCTAAAGATATGGAGGTTGTGGATTAAGGAGTGTATTCAATCTACTCTAGCACGAATCCTCGTTAATGACAGTTCTACTAAATAATTTGTGACGAGAAATTTGACAGAGAATGACTCTCTATCGTTATTTTTGTTTCTCACAATAGAAAAACATCTCAATATTATTCTAAATACTTCAATCAACTCTGTCCATTTTAAATGTTATAAGATCAACACATCTCCAATTTCAAAATTATGAACATATCAGATATTATCTCATTATAAGTAATATGAGGTGGGTGCTAGTCAACGTACTAAACAATATAAAAAACTACAATGGTCATTAAACCATTCTAATCCAATAACAATTCAAACTAACCTCCCTAAGATTTAGTAATTGAGTAGGTGTGGTGTGATGTTAACAAAATGAAGTTCACGACACAAACACTCCATGCTAGTAGTCTAAATAATGAATGACTTAATTAAGCAAATTGTAATTGGTCTATTAAACTGAAATAAAATAGTAATGAAAAGTTAAAGTTGATAAGAAAGAAGTTAAAAAAATTAGAAACTTAGAAAGTTGAAAAGAAGGTGGTAATCATAATCATATTTGAGCGTAGATTAGCGATGTGGAGTTCAAGCAGGGAGGAACCGAGTGAATCTTTTCCATTCTCCACATCCGTCTTCAATTTCTCTTCCGGAAATCCTAGAATCGAAGAAACTCGCGGCCTCATGCACTTCTTCCCCGAAGAATCTCCTCCTTCTCTTCCGGTATCTCTCAATATCCAACCTAATCAATTCAATTCAATTTTCATTTCCGATTTTCAATTTCTCTGTTTCTCAATTAGGTCGAACGGAAACCACTGGCATGTGTTCTTGGAGTACCCAATCACATGACGTATGCGGATTTCTGCCAATTCTGTGGCTCCTTTATTCACCACATTCTTGAAATGCGTATTGTCAGAATGGATTCAATGGAAGATCGATACAGTGTTTTGATTCGCTTCGATGAACAGCAATCGACTGACGCGTTCTACACTCATTATAATGGTCGACGGTTCTCGTCTCTCGAGGTTTCTGTTTATTCATTTCTTCATTGATTTCACTATAGTAATGCATTTTTCTTTTTGTTTTTCTGTTTCTTCATTTTCTTGTGTTTGATTTTCGTATATAGGTTGAGGTGTGCCGAGTTGTTTTTACATTAGATGTTCAATATACAGGCTCGATTGAACACGCGCAACCTTCCAATGCCCCTTCAACCGAACAGCCAACATGTCCAGTTTGCCTTGGTACATTACATATCCCTTTTATGGTATAGCTTGCTTTCAAAAGTATAGCTTTCAAGATGTTAAATAAGAGAGCTTATGAAAAAATTGAAAGGTCAAAGCAAATTTCAAATTATACGAGAATCTGTTGATTGAAAAAGTGTCTTTGTTGTTGCTATTTTGTAACTTGTTTTCCTATAGGCGCGTTAGGAGAATTTTTCAAACTTGCTCATAATGTAGTATTCATATATGTTTTGTTTCTATTTTAGATATATTTTTTGTTGTCGCCTTTGTTATTGTTGTTGTTGTTGTTGTTAGTATGGAACCTTCTGAATGAACTATTCATTGGCATACGCATGTTGTTTAAATTGAAAGTTTTATATATTTATTGGTATCATTTTGTTATTTTACAGAGCGATTAGATCAAGACACAAGTGGAATTCTTACAACCATATGCAATCATTCTTTCCATTGTTCCTGTATTTCAAAATGGGCAGATTCTTCTTGTCCGGTAAGTTGCTCTGTTTCATCTGTCTTTTCATCTAGGCATGAGAGTGTGTGTTATAGGGTACACCCGAGAGGGGAGAGCAGCTGACCGTAACTGTACTGTGTGAGCTGCTCTGAGGATTGGGGGTGTCTCAACAAGTTGAATGTTTTCATGTTTATAATTTATTTGATTAGTTTGAAAGCAAGGGTTTCTTTTTGAATTCTTTTATTAGTTAATTAAGTATTCAGTACCAGTCCCCTGCTTATATTTTCAGGTATGCCGCTATTGCCAACAGCAAGCTGAAAAGTCTATATGTTTCATTTGTCAAACCACTGAGAACCTTTGGATATGTGTTATATGTGGTTTTGTCGGTTGTGGAAGGTGAGATTTTTGTCACTCAGCGCATTCTATTTGTTGCATTTTATTCCTTGTGTTTGTCTTTTTAAATGTATTTTGGTGCAACGATGTGTATCTTCAGATATAAAGGAGGGCATGCCATAATACACTGGAAAGAGACGCAACATTGCTATTCCTTAGAAGTGGAAACTAAGCGCGTCTGGGATTATGTGGGAGACAACTATGTTCATAGACTTATTCAGTCCAAAACTGATGGGAAGTTAGTAGAGCTGAACTCTCACTGTGTGCATGCAGACAGTGGATGTGGCAGCTGTGGAGATAATGCCATGAGAGAGGCTATACTTAATAGTAAAGTCGAAGCTGTAATGTGGCACCATTGATTAATAATTTTCTCAAATATTAATTTTATATATTGAGCTTTAACTTTTGTTCAATTATATTAACGCGTTCATTCTCTTTTACAGATTGTCAATGAATACAATGAGTTGCTTGCTACTCAACTCGAAAACCAAAAATTGGTTAGTGTATTCCATTTACCATTTGCTGTATATCTGCCAAGATTTCCCCCTGTCTTGTACAAACTTTAAATTTTTGAACCTGTTTAACTGTAGTATTTTGAATCCTTATTACAACAAGTTGAACAAGAAACTGAAGGAAAAATTTCTGTAGCTGTTCAAAAGGCTGTGAGTCTCAAACAGCAAAAGATTCAGTCCAAGATCGATAGATTTAACAAAGAGAAGAAATTTCTGGATGAGGTAAGTTTAATTCATGCTTGGGTATCTCCTTTTTGCAAAATATGATACCCAAGTTATAACCTTGTCTTTGACAAAAAATAAATTATAACCATGTCATAGGATTATGGGTTGTTTCATTAATATATCACAAGGACATGAAATCTTGTTGCAAATGTTTATATTATGTTTATGTCTCAGCTTAATGACAATCTTTTGAAGAATGAGGAGATCTGGAAAGCCAAGATACTTGAGATTGAAGAGAGGTATGCTTTTATCCGTTATTACTCGTCATTCTTGATGTGTTTTTCTCAATATTGTACTTAAGATGTCTTGTCCCATCAAACCAAATGTGAACAGTTGCTGCTTTAATGTGTGTTTGTCATTTTTAGAGATGTTCCTTTTCTAGACTCTGTAATTGTCATGCTTTAAGTTCCCATGTCTTGAACTCGAGTAATTGCAAATCTGGTCCAGATTTTTGCAAACTGATAGGTGATGTATTTTTTTCTTCTTTTCAGAAAGAAAAAAACTTTAAAACGGACTGACTATAAGATAACGGGCCTAGAAAAGCAGGTAAAATAAACACTTTCATTTCTCTTTTATTTTTAATCCCCGGTGGAGGGTTTGTTGTGGGGAGCGGTTGGAGTTTGATTTTAGGGTACAATAATATTCATACATCAAACTAATCAAACTACTGTTTGGTTTGTTCTCAAACTGTGCAGCTTAGTGACCTCATGGTTTGTCTTGAGGGTGGGAAGGTGGTAGAACAGCTGCCATTGCTAAATGACACAACTGGTGGAACTGTCTCTGACATTTCAAAAGAATCCTCATCAACTTGTAGTTCTTAGCTGGGAGTTGAAAGAGAAAGAAGGGAAGGGGAAAGAATGAACGAGGTAAGAAAACACACCCCTGCCCGTTGGAGGGTTTTTTAAATTCACCTCCTAAACAAGCATTGTGTGGGCTTACCTGCACCATACAAAACTAAACTGAAGGACGGAGGCACAAGTTGAGATGCATCCGCCTGTTCTTTTGTCGTTAAAACTTTAATGTGTCATGTTTGTAAGTAAATAGATACATACATAGTTTTCAAGAGAGGATTCTTCAAGTGCTTGTGCTTATCTTTCAAATACTTACTTTACATGTTTCATACTTTAATTAGTGTTGAAAATGCCCATGATATTATCTAGTTGTAAAGAACTAAAGATACTTCTAGTTCATCAATAGAGGGTTTCTTGAAAAGATTTATTAGAAATAGAGAGAGATATCCTTGATCAATTGGTGAGGGAGACGATTCAACATTAGCAAATTTACTTTGAGAAGGTGTAACATGTGTCGGATGAAGTGAGGCAGCATCACTTAGAATTTCCTTGTTCTATTCTAGACAAGTTCATGTGCAAGAACTTTTACTTCATCAAGATCCAAAACATCAAATTTACTTTCATCGAAGAAATTACCTGTGCATAATCTGAAAGTAAACCTTCAATTTGATGACTTACATGAACATGATCTCCTATTGATGCTTGCATCTACTGTTTTTTTAATACGAAGAAGATAGATTTTCACTGTTGCACTTTCCAATTTATTTGCATGCTCAATGCGAAGATGGTGCGCTTTAGTGCGTGTTTGTTTTTGAAAGTACGCAAAAAGATTATCTCATAGTTCATATGCATGCAAATGACAAAGAACACGAAATATAATTTTATTGGAACGTGTAGATTGCAACAATGATTGAAACATCTAATTGATCTCCGCGAGAGAAATGCATTGTTAATCGTTCCATTGCGACAATCATCTTCATTCATGAATTGATGCAGGGTTAGTCGTTCAACTGTGACAATCATATTCATTCATGAATTGTGATGAAATTTGTGGACAAATGATATATTCTATGAGATTGTGAGCGTTGAAGTAAAACTCAACTTGTTGAATTCGAAGAACAAGAATCATCACAAAAATGAGTGTTCATCTGATGAATTCGAAATAGGATGCCATTGTCCTAACGAGGATTAAGATCTGGCATGAATCAGTGGTGGACAAGGATTAGGATTTATCATGAATCGAATTAAGATTTATCATGAATTGAACTAGTTAATTGATACAAATATTAAAAAGAGAGATTCTTGATCTCAAATTTTATTTTCTACGTCTGTTTTAATCCTGTTACAATCATGAGTTTATATATTTGCTGAATGGTTACCTGTTATAGCAGGTTACATCTATGATATTAAACAGGCCTCCCCTCCTCCATCCCCTCCCTTTGCTCTACTTTACTTTTAAGTGATCACACCACATCATGTTCTATAATTCTTTTAGTTCTCAAAATATTTGTAAAGTTACTTTTACAGTCTTCAAAAAAAAAAAAAATCTCATTCATCTAATTTAGTAATCCTAGTTCAATACATATTATAACAGAACAAGAAATAAACTTGTTGAAGAGCCTCGAAGAACTAAGCAAATCAAGATCAAACCTTTCAATCTAAACAAGATTTACGCTATAAGCAAAAGATTATAACAAAACAAGAATTAAAATGAGATACAATGAAATATTTATAACTAAAAAATATAATGAACTAATTAAATATAAACAACAATACAATTTTTCCACTGTTAATTCAGGGACAAGGTTTTGATTTACTAAAAATCAAAAAGGATTTATCCTAAATTTGTAGCCATGTTACCAAACAAAACAGAATATTATCATAATAGTAAAAAATGTATGTGAAGTTATGAAAATATAAATTTAATATGATACAAAAATAGAATACTATTACGCAATCACAAATATATGAACAACTTTAATATATAGATTATAGTATAAACTAAACATAACCTAAATACAATTTTAAGAGAAGGAAATTAAAATTTTATGAAAAGAGGAAACTGCATGTTGTGTCGAATAGAAGGTAGAAAAAAAAGTGGTTTAGAACAATCTTAATCAAAAACAATGTGATAATTAAATGCTTCAAATACTAAAATGATATCGTCAATAAACCTTATATATGAGACTTTAATTTGATACGCTTGCTCACTTCACTGTTGCACATCATCACATGTCTGTAATGTAGCCACTAGTTTTAGTTTTTTCACTAGAGCTTTCACTATCAAGTTGCAGTTATCATCCATCTGTACAAATCAATTATAAAACTTTAAACACAAATAAAATTTCATCATGTGTATTTTTGTTTTTTTTAAATGTAATTAGTTACCTGAGCAACAATGTTGATGTTAAGAGTATTTCTAAATGGCAAGATACTGGAAGTAGTTATGGAGAGATGATGAAGTTGAAGCTGAGACATTATATTGACCACAATCTCTTTTTGCATCACACAATGAACCCTAATTAACACTTCCTTCCCCAGGACTCTTGCTTCAACCTGAGGAAGTGATTGGTTGCACTCATAAGATTCTTCGGTCTTCTTTTCGCCTATTGCAACATCGTTGTCAATGAAGAGATGAGATCTTGTGAGTGTGTTAACAGATTCCTTATCTCTCTTCTTGATGTCTTGCTCCAAGAATCCAGTGCTACATGGAAGAAGCAAGCACATTGAGACGAAGTATCACTTTCTCAGAAGTCAAGTTCAGAAAGGAGTGTTAGAAATTCTGCACTGTAGCACTCAGAAACAACTTGCAGATCTTCTGACGAAGGAAGTTAAAACAGATCAATTTCTTCATTTGAGAGATGAAATTTGTGTTGTTAGTTTCTGATGGAATATCTAAATTAAGGGATGGTATTGGAAATGTAATTTAGTTAATGACTACAATTCTCAATGCTTCTTCTTTATTAGGGCCTTTTGGCATTTTTAATTTTAGTATAAATATGCTACCTAAGCTATTAATATTGTAACTCATTTCATTCCTCTATTTGAATATTATGAAGTAGTCCTATTTGTTATCATTCATTGTTCATTCTTCTTCTCTCCTTTCATTACCTTGCACCAATAATTGCAACATCGTTGTCAATGAAGAGATGAGATCTTGTGAGTGTGTTAACAAATTCCTTATCTCTCTTCTTGATGTCTTGCTCCAACTCTTTTACACGTTCTTTAAATTGTTTCACGTAATTGACAGCTTCTCTTAGTTTATAACTTTTATCTGTCTACACGATCATTAGATAATATTTTTTTAGCTATAACATTTTACTTTAACAAAAATATGTAACTATAAAAAATTATTTTAAAAAAAACTTAAACAAACGGATTCTTTATCAATGAAATATTTAACGTTGAAATGAAGACTAACTAGCCTTCTTCAATCCAGGTAAAATGGCTGAAAGTTCTATAAACATCATTCTAATTTCCTTTCTCCTTTTCCTCTCCGCCATTATGTGATCAAGTGTTTCAGATGCGCTTCGACGCTTCCTCGAATTCGAGCTTTGGTTAGCCTTTGATTTTGATGACAAGGGCAAAGAACATTTCAAATGATCAATATGTTGTTGAGTTGGTGGTAACAATATAGAGGATTTGTCAAAAGAAAGAATATAAGATGATGGCTTTTCTGCAACATGTTGATCAGTTGAATGAGAGACATTGATGGATGAGTTGTTGTTGTTGTCAATAGGGAGACTCATGAATAGATCTTGTGGTGTCTGATGGAAGATATCTCTTAGGAACTCTTCCTCAAATGTGTTGTTTGTGTCACACAAACTTTCTGTGACTTCATGGTCCATTTCCTAGGAACAAATCATTTCAAGTGGAAGTTTTATGTTTAATATCATCATATTTTAATAAAGAATATAAACACAGTATATAATATAATATATGATACGATGATTTGTTATTGTATTACCAAATCGTAAGAGCAATTTCCCCATGGAATCTCCTCCATTATTTGGATTAGGATATCAAGATGATATTGTAGCAGATTCTATACGAATGGTGGGAACTTTCTACGACTATAAATAGAGATGACAGGTAATGACAAAAATAATTCATAACTAATAAGATAAAAAAATTATAAAATAAATGTTAGCGCGTGAGATATTTTTAGTAAGAAGAGAAAAAAATAATAATAAAAAAATAAAAATTATATTACTCACTTGAATTGTACTGTATAGATAGTGATACAAACTATGACTATTAATATACAATCTTAATTGAACTTGGACTTTCTACTTTGGATTATATTTGATATATATCGATGACTTGCTGATAATTGAAAATAGTTTGGAGAACTTGTCGAAGTTCAAAGAGTTGATGATGAGAGAATTTGAAATGTCAGGTCTGAGAAAATTGTCTTATTTTCTACGCATGAAATTTCAAATGTCAAAGCAAGGCATGGTGCTACATCAAATGTCTTATTTCAGAATGGATGATTCGAATCCTGCATCCTCATTTGTCGAATCAAATGTGAAGTTGGAGAAACATGGAGATGAAGACAAAGTCGGCGTAACTTTGTTCAAACAAATTGTGGGATCTTTGAGATATGTGTGCAACAGTCGACCTGATATAGGTTTCAGTTTCACTGTCGGATTAGTGAGCAAATACATGAGTGAACCAATGGTGTCGCACATGAAGGATGCAAGAAGAATTCTGAGATATTTGAAGGGATCGATAAACTGTGGAATACTATTTCGACGAGACTCTAAAAGTAAAAAATCAACAATTACTTATTTTTCAATTGCTGGTTGGTGTGGAGATAAGGAAGATCGAAGAAGTACAACTGACTATTTCTTTCAAGTATTTGGTGTTCCGATATCATGGTGCTCGAAAAAAGCAACTTGTGGTGGCATTATCATCGTGTGAAGTTGAATATATAGCCAGATCCTATGATGCATGTCAAGTAATTTGGATCAGATCGGTACTTGAAGAAATGAAGGTCGAAGTGAAGAAATCTCTTGTGTTGAAAATCGAAAACAAGTCAGTCATAAATCTGACAAAGAATCCAGTTTTGCATGAAAGTAGTAAGTATATCGAAGCTAGATTTCACTTCTTGAGGGAAAAGGTAAATTGAGGTGAAATTAAAGTAAGACATTGCTCAAGTGAAACACGGTTGTCCGACATCTTCATCAAAAGATTGTAGATCAACATATTTCTGGATTTGAGAAAGAAATTAGGAATAATTCAGATTGACTATGATTAGCATATGTTCGACGACTTGGATTATAGAGGGGTATATTGAGATATTAGATATAATAAATATAATCAAAGTTAGATATGTTGAGATATTAGATATAATATCAAATATAATCTAAATTAGATATGTTGAGATATTAGATATAATATCTCAACATATCTAACTTGGATTATATTTGATATTATATCTAATATCTCCACAATAAGTACGAATATAGACACGAGCAATTACCTATTAAAATAAGCGAATATAAGTGCGGGTACGATACCTTAGTATCCCGTCTCATATATGCACAATATATATATATATATATATATATATATATATATATATATATATATATATATATATATATATATATATATATATATATAGTTTTATGATTATATAAACATGTTAATTTATTAATTCTATTAAATACGCCGCTCTAAAATATATTTATGTTATTTTTATGTTTATCATATTATTTTAGCTTAAATGCACTTTTCGTGGTTATTTTATCTAACCACATTAATAACAATAATTTTTGAATAGTGGAGGAGCTTTCACATGGAGCCTTTTGTTTTTGTCGCTTCCACGATGCCTCTGTCGGTCAAGCCACCAGAAGGAGGTGCATTTAAGCCTTCTAGACCGTTGTTGTAGGATATTCTCACTGAAAGCCAAGGAGCTACTATTGTGAAGGAGAGAGTGGACCTGATTGAAAAAAGACTTATGAAAGACTCTCTTGAAGGAGGAAATTGATTGCTACCAAAGGTCACAATGAGAATTTTTTTTTAGGAACTGTGCAACCCTTGGAAGGAGGCGTTAGTCATTAAACTACTCGAAAAGAACATTGGTTATAATTTAATGAAAGATAAGTTGAAGAAGATGTGGAAACTTACCGAAGGTTTTGAGATCATGGACGTTGACAATGGTTTCTTTATAGTTAAGTGTGAAATGCTCGCAAATAGGGAGAAAATTGTGCCAGAAGGTCCGTGGATGTTGTTTGACCATTATTTAACAGTGACTCGATGGACTGTAGACTTTGCATCTCCTCTCGCAAAAGTGGAAAATACTATGATTTGTATTTGATTTACGGGGCTTAACTTATTGTATTACGATGAAAGTGTCTTTCTTGATTTGACATCTGTTGTTGGTACTCCTGTTAAGGTAGATATTAATACCCTAAATGTAGAAAGGGGGAAGGTTTACGAGAATTTGCATGGAAATTGATCTGAACTTGTCGGTTGTTGTAAAGCTCAATATTAATGACCACATGTATAACATGCAATATGAATATTTCCATATTATTTGCTCCAATTGTGGCTGTTATGGACATCACACCCACGATTGTAAGAAAATACCATATAATCTGACACAGTTGGTAATTCCTACAATGGAGAAACCAAGAGGTCCTCCGGAAAATGATAATCTCCATGAGAAAAAACTAACTTAACCGCATCAGGAAGTGGACGTTAATAGCATTGAAATTGTAGCAAAATAATCCGAAGAAGTAAACGCGTTTCATGGTGATTGGCTGGTGACATAGAGGAAAAAAACACAACAAAAGAGTCAGTTATGGTCCAGGGAAATCTGTATCCAATATTGCGCCTAGAGATCAAGGGAGTTCTAAAATCAAGGGGATTGATGTTTCCTTAAAAGGAATAAGTATTGACAGTAAAACTGTTGGACCTAATCAACTTGACCCAGTTTCCAAGAAACAATGATTTGATAAGAGTGGATCCACTCCAGACGCACGTCAGCCAACACGCAGAGGGGGCCCACTTGCTAAGGCCAACTTTACAATTAGTGGGTCTTCTCACAAAACTGAACCAACTTTTAATTCACGCCTAACAGAAAAGGATGTGCCTAGCATTTCCATAGTAAACTTTGTTTTGGAGACCATCGCACGATACAACATTCCACATTTTGAACCAACAGTAAGTCAGGAAGATGGAAATAACCAATGCACTATAGATGAAGGTGCTACTCAAGAGTAGGAAATTGTTCATGAAACTCTAATTGAATGAGATCCTGCTACGTAAATTTTCTTGTGTCTGAGACTTGCTTTATCATCTCCATTAACTTGACTAGTTATGTTAGGTTTCAAAGAAGTCATTGTGCTTTCCTGGAATATCCCAAGAGCCTCTAATAATAAGGCTAATAGATACATGCTGAACTTTATTAGAAAATATTCTTTAATGTTGTTAACCATTAAGGAAACACACATTGATTTTCATAAGACCAAGTCCTTCTGGGACATAGCTGGATATGTGAGTGTTCACTATATGGAAACACATGGTCAATTCGGGGGAATTTGGGTGTTAAAGAATAATGGTGGTAACATTATAACTATCGTGCATGATATCTTTATGGATATAATTACTATTAAGATATCATTGGGAACTTCCTCTTGGTATATAAATAGAATTTATGTTAGTCCTATGTACACTTATCATCTTGACATGTGGCTCCACTTCATTGACAATAGGAACAACGTTCATGGTTCTTGGATGTTAATTAGATACTTCAAAGACACCATTCATCCAAGTGAACAAAAATAAGGTAATTTTGATTATTCTAGAGTATTTTCTTTATTGAATGTCATTGATAAATGTAGTTTAGTTGAAGTAGACATGAATGATGGGAAATTCAATTGGAATAGGCCTTGTATTGGTAATGAAATGGTCTATCACAAGTAGGATAGGGCCTTGGTCGACATTGCTTCGCACATGGATTTTCCTGATGTATATGTTGAGGTGTTGTGTTAATTTTATTCTGATCACAACCCATCTCTCCTTAGGTGTGGTCGAACCCTCTAAGACCATGGGCTACATCATTTTAGGTTTGATGGAGCTTGGATCACTCACACCCTAGATGGGATTGTATCTTGTCTCCAAAATGTGTAGCACGAATCTATCCTTTTTAATAAGGAAACTTTTGGCAATATCACCAAATAGAAGCATAACATTGAGAAGAGACTCAGGGGTATCCAGTTCTCTTTGGAGAGAATAGATTTGACAAGACTAGTTTATTTCCAACAGGAGCTTCAACAAGAGTATTATAAGATCCTTGCGCAATAGGAGATCCATTGGTATCAAAAGGCTAATGATGATTGGATTAAATTGAGATATCGAAACACAAATTTTTTTTCATACCAAGACGGTAATCAGGAGGAAGAGAAATAAAGTCCATGGTCTTTATCTTCCCAATAGTATTTGGTGCAATGATGATACTATTCTTAGGAAAAAAGCACTAAATTTTTTTAAAGGTCTTCTCTGCCCTACATCTCCTATACTCCCCGCTAGTATAGGTGACTCAAATATGGCTCAAAGCCCTACTGTATAATCCCAATACACGTTGACTCAACAGGTGACGAGGGAAGAAGTTATTTATACATTGAATCAAACGCACACTTTCAATGCACTTGTCCCTAATGTATTTCATAGTATTTTCTTTAAATAGTTTTGGCATATAGTTGGAGATGACGTCGTACAACTTATATACAATATTTTTGTTACAAATATCTTTCACTCCTCTCTTTCTGAGACTCTTATTGCATTAATTCCTAAGGTAGTTTGTCCCAATTTTTTTAAGTAATCCAAGCTCATTAGCTTGTGCAACACTATTTACAAGCTTATCACGAAAATTATGGTTAACAGATTGTGTCCTTATCTAAATCAGATAGTTGGACTCTTCCAGAGTAGTTTTTGCCTGGTAAAAGGACAACTGATAATGCCATTATCCTCCGAGAAGTAATTCATTCTATGCGTAAATCTAAAAAGAAAAAAGCTGACATGGTGTTCAAAATAGATCTTGAAAAATCCTATGATCATGTTAATTGGGATTTATTGGAATTTTATTTGAAGTGAAACCAGTTTCCTCCCATTATTATAAAGTTGATCATGCACTATGTAACTAGCTATTCTATGTATATTCTTTGGAATGAGAGAGGACTACCAAATTTTGTTCCAACTAGAGGATTACGACAAGGTGACCCTTTTCACCCTATATCTTTGTTATTTACATGGGATTCTTGTTGCAAATAATCATCAAGAAAGTCGATGAAGGCCATTGGAAACCTGTTAGGTTATCTTGTAATGGACCCCCTCTATCACAATTATTTTTTTGCTGATGATGCTCTTCTTTTTGCGAAGGTTTCTAACTCCCATGCAAGGATCATTTATGATATCTTGAATCGTTTTTCTATGTTTTTTAGCCTTAAAGTGAATGCTTCTAAATCAAAGTTGTTCTTACTATAGAGAAGTGCTTGTGTTCCCCTATGTTGCATGGTCTTCTTCAACGCAAGGACTTTGAGTTTATAGAGGAGAAAATCAGTCAGAAGTTGTAATCTAGGCAACATAAATTGTTAAACAAGGTTAGTTGTTTAATTCTGGTTAGGTTTGTCCTGAACTTCATTCCAAATTATTATATGCAAGTGGCTTGGCTATCTCGGTCAACTTGTGATTTATTGATAGGATGGTTATGAGTTTTTTATGGAAAGGTAATTCAAACTCTGGTGTGCATCTCGTTGGATAAAATAAAATCACTAAGCCTAAAATGTTGGATGGTCTTGGGTTTCGGAAAGCAAGAAAGGCCAATACCTCTATGTTGGATAAGTTGGTTTCGGATCTCTACCGTGATTGTTATTCCATATGTGTCCAAGTTTTGAAGCATAAGTACATCAGTGGGGAAATGCTCATTAATATAAAAAGAATCCAAGATTAGTTACTTAGAATGCAATTATAACAGCTCTCTTAAATCTTAAATATGGATTTGACTTTATATTAAGGGATGATAACTCTTCTTTCTGGTTTTCCAATTAGACTGGGGTAGAGAAATTAGCGGGGCAGGTTCTCTATGTGGATATCCACGATATGGAAATGTGAGTGAATGATGTTTACTTGGATGAAAATTGGAACTTTAATTCATTATATACTAATATTCATGCGGTTGTTTGTGACCTTTTAAAAGCACTTCTCATTTGTTTGAATTCTCTAGGTCTTGGTCAGTTAACCTGGAAAGACAATTTATATCTATCTTTATTCCCCGAGATGGTTATATATGGCTCAACAGACTTGAATTTGTTCAGAATACAACAAACAATAACCATTGGAAATGGGTGTGGCATATTCCTGCTCTTGAGAAGGTAAAATTCTTCCTTTGAACGAATTTACATAAGTCTCTTCCTACAAGATCAATGTTGTGTCATTGTGGTATGCTCTATACGAATCTATGTCCTAGATACAATTAAGACGCTGAGACGACTCTACACTGATTGAGAGACTGTGAATTTGCTACTAGCTTTTGAAAATTTATTGGTTTTTTGGACCCATTATCCTTTTAAGAGGATAATTTATATGATCAAATTAGATATGGCATAAGTGGTGGCTCTATCTTTTTGGCTGCTTGCTGGTGATTGTGGCGCACTAGGAACAAACTGTGTATTGCGAATGAAGTAGTATCTTTCTATACAATAAAATTCATTACATTGAATTATGTTAATCTGTTAGCTAAATATTTTCTCAAGTATAATATGTCTCATCCAACGAGAACGATTACGTGGAATGCACACAAATGTAGTAATATGATTTTGAATATTGATGGTAGTAGCCCCGGTAATTCGGTTGTTTCGGGTTTTGGTGGACTGATCTGAAATGTTGATGGTGCTTGGGTTCACGATTTTACGGGTAATGTTGATTATTTCAACATCCTTCATGCTGAGCTGATGGAGTTATATCATGGTTTGCGTATGACCTGGAAATTTGACATCAAAGACCTGATGTGTTATTATGACTTCAACTCTACTATCAAGCTTATCTCAAAGTCTGTTAATGTTTGACATCACTATGTCGGAGTTCTTCACAATATTAAAGAACTTCTTTCTAGGGAATGACGAGTTCAAATATTTCATATTCTTAAGGAGGTGAATGCTTGTGTTGACTACGTAGCAACACATGGAGTTGATAATGATGCAGTGTATCGGTCTTTTGTGGAGTCTCCTGTTGGAATCATCATGCTTTTGCTAGCTTATGCTAGTGAGATGTTATTTTCTAGATAATTTTTTGCTTTATTTTTCCACTGTACCAACAAAAATCACTATTAAACTTGTGAGCATTTTAATAAAAATATTTGTTTCTTTCTTATCTCAACAATAATATTCTTAAAAAAAAATTAATATCGTTGAAAAAATTTAAAATAAAATGATAAAATTATAATTGATTAACTATTTTTTATTAGAAATTAGGATAAAAGAAGAACTTATAAAAAACAGATACAAGTACACATATTAGTTTTTATGCAGATATGGCTTTGGAGACGAAATTTTTTGTAAACCGCATGTATGATGGTTGATATAATAGTCCCCTGCCCAAACATTGCTCACTATCATCCCAAACTATAAGGCCATGGCTTAATATCTGGTTCAAGAGACACACGCTTCTGTCATTCCTTCAAGACTTGTAATTCACAACAAAAAGTAGAAACAAATTGTCATTAATGGACGCCTCTAAAACTTAATGTTGGTAGGTCATGAAACAGACGATATTAAATGATGCTAAGGTCATGAAAATAATAGTATGCGTCTAAAAATGGTTGTACTGTTTTTCTAACACCGGCTCTACACAATTAACATAAACCAATATATCAATCACTTTGTTCTATTTGGTGTATGTTGTGAACAAGGGTGGCATTTTACATGCATTCAATCGATCATATATTTTACTCTTGTCTAATCTCCTGTGCTTTCTTTGTTTAAATTCAATTGAAAACGACAAATATTTGTGTGCCTAGTTTTATTACTTTTAAAGCTTAATATTATTTTGTCATGTATAATAACTTCCGAGGGTTTTTTCACTTAATTTGAAATATTTTTAAATTAATTTATTAATTCTTCGAAATGTGTTATGTTAATCTTTTTTATTTAATTAATGACTGAAAAATTCAAAAATCATATTAAATTCATTGTTAATTAGACAAAAAAAAATCAACATAATACATTTTGAAAAATTAAGAAATCAATCTGATTTTTTTATTTTATTTAAGAAATAAAAATAAATATAAAAAATAACATAAGACAACTAAAAGAATATTAAATTAAGTTTCTATTATTTATGTTTGTTTTTTTTTTTTTATATAAATCCAATATTTTATGCGCACAAGTACAAAGACTAATCTCTCAAGATATTCTCTGTACAATTGTAGAGATTAATTTTCGAATTATATCGAATCACAAAAGACAATAAATTTTACGTCAAAAGAGTTAACACTAATACATACTCTCTCTGGTCTCATTTATAAGAAAAAATTAACTTTTTATATACATTGAATAAGTAATGTATTTGGACAATATATTGTCCAAATACATTACTTATTTAATGTATTTAAAAAGTTAATTTTTTCTTATAAATGAAACCGGAGAGAATATATAAGATTAGATTCAAACTCAAGATCTCTAATTAAATTAAAAGAGACTTTACTATCTCATCCAAATACTCTTGTTGCTAATTAAACAATGTATATTGTTAAGATTTTGATATTAAATTCCGAACATTTAATTAAGCTGAAAGTTAGTTTTTATGGACTAATAAAATAATGTATGTTTTTTTAACACTAACATATGTACTCACATAATTTTTGGAAAGAGTATTATTTTACGAAGTTATGATTAAAAAATCATAAGATTATACTTTAAGGTGCTTTTTCTATATATTGCTTCTTAAAATAAGTGGTGGTAAATTAGAGCAGCTTCTATACGCATTTCTTAATTATTTTTTTACAAAAATTCTCTGGTCATATTGGAAGTATAGTTTGCTCAAGAAGATCTTCCGTCTCCTTTGGTGGTTCGCTCCGATTTGGACTATTTGACCTAAATATTAACACTATATTATAACACCTTATAAAAATGCATCTTTTATAACTACTGATGTGAAATAAAAAGAGAGAACGAAAAAATAAAAAATGACACCATATATGAAGCCGTAGCGTTGAACATTTAAAAAGGTGTCTAAATATCATTTATGTTAACGGATTTGGATTGGGCATATACTTGCCTTTTAACGGGAAATCTAAAGATAACTCAAGTTAGGGACTGTTGGACAACTCCCCATCCGATTATTGGAGGACGTGGCCCACATGCCCACGACATCCATCTTAAACTGTCCTCCGAAAATCACGGGTCCAACCCTATTCTCGCGGAGTAGTTGACCAGAGTGGGAACCTTGCTGAACTCCATACACATGTAAGCCCTGTCAGTTCCTATTATTGAGTCTCAACGTGGTTCAAGAGTGGGAACCTTGGCCCAACGCTGGGGGCTATAAATACCCTCTCTCTCAAGAGGGTCAGGTATTCAATTCATATCTCTAAACTCATACTTGTTTGTTCATTCCACAACTTACTTTGTCATCGAAGTGTCTTGCAGGTACCCCCATCTCATTCAACTTCTGCCCGAGCCAGCTGTGACTGTCCATTTCTGATCCGGTAAGATCAGTGGCGCCGTCTGTGGGAAACTTGCTTCTCCATCTTCTATTCACTTGAGACCAAAGCTAAACAATCCCCGACTGTCATGGCTGACCAGACTCCAGACAACATGAACGTCCGCGTCATCGACGTCAACAACAATACCGCCGATAATAATGTCGGCCTCGACAACGCCGATACTGTCAGCCACAACACAGCCCCCGACGTTAATATGCATGGGCCTTCTGACTACATAGACGGAGTAACTGCTTCATCATCATCACTTCCTCGTCGACTTGAGGATAATCGACCACCTTCCCAGAACTACCAACATGTCCCATTCCACGAGGTCCCCGTCCCCGTTGGGGCAGACGCCACGACCAGGGCACTGTTCGCGGTAATCAATCAAACCAACTACCTAATCTTAGCCCAGGGAGAAAGACTGAGGAAGCCCAAAGACGATCAGAGGCCCCCAAGAAGACACAAGATACCTCAATCTCCTCCTCATCGACAAGCAGAGGAACATCCCTAATCTCCCCCACGGAGATATAATCGGGACATCTCTCGAAGCCCGTCTCCCCGACCAATCATGCGACGACCCCCCTTGGAGAGGGAACAACTCATTGATGCGGGAAGGCGCGATCACGGCCCCTCACGTCAAGAACGAAGACCCCCTGGAGACAGGAACGGGGGAAACCACCAACGGTCATACCGCCCGAGAACTGCTCCGTGCGACCAGGGCCACCATGACCGCCACTACATCAGATCTCCGTCTCGCTCGTCCGAACAGAGTGACGAGGACGATCCACGCGGTCCCTTGTCACAAGCTATCATGGAGGCACCCATTCCCTCGGGCACGGAGAAGCCCCCCACCTGAAGGAATACGACGGCATTGTCGACCCAGTCAACCATATAGACGGGTTTGAATCCATGCTACACTATCACAACATCGAGGGACCGATCAAATGCCGGTTATTCCTCACGACTCTTAGGAAAGCTACGATGGACCGGTACAAAGGTCTCACCCCGGGGTCAATTACCTCTTGGCGAAATCTGAAGAACCAATTCATCAGTTCATTCACTGCTTCACGACGATACCCAAAGACCGAAGCAGCCATCGAGGCCATCGTCCAGAGACACGATGAGACCCTGAGGGAATTCATTGACCGGTTCAACCGAGAGGCCATCCAGGTCCCCTGTACGGACCACATGAAAAGATACCTGCTCGAGAGGGAACTCCTCCCGGGCACTGAATTCAGAAAGGCTGTAGGCATCGAACCACCCCGAACATTCGATGTCCTCCTCGAGAAGGCCAAAGCTTATATGGTGTGATACGATGGGAGAAATGACTTGAAGGTTTTGCGTTTGATTGCAAATGTTGCGGTTAGCAAGAGTCGCCACCGACTTTTCTTTTATCCAATAGGAAAGGTGAAAAAGCACAGGAAAGACCTTTGAGATTATTTCTTGAGTTTGGGGGGTAGATTATGAAAAGGGAAGGTATTAGTACTCTTTTCATCTATGGTTTTCTATGGGCTCTTAGTTACTTGCTAGATCACTTGCTTTTGTTTGAAATTGTGCTTTGTGTGGTTTTTGAAAGTATTTTGTAAAGAGGCCATCGTTTAGGCAAACTTTGTAATGATTCTCGTTCGTAAGAATGTATATAAAGTGTGTTATCTTTTGAAAATATTTTCAAGTTTGTAAGATGTTTTGAAAGTGTAGGTGTTTGTTTTGAAAATAGCAAGGATGTTTGTTTTGAAATGGAGCAAGTAATTAGGAGCATTCTACCTACTTAAAAGTCTTTCTTGTTCATTCTCTTTTCCTTTGACATTGTTATCTTACCATTGATTTGGTAAGTAACCCTATCTTTGGATGTAAATGAGACGAGCATGAGTCATCGTATAACCATGAATAGCAATGTTGCAAGGTATCTTAGTATTCTATTTTAGGGACTAAGATCATTTGAAAGGCAACATGGATAGCGTCATCGAGGGACTATGATCTTATATTTGTTTTGTTTTTGCTAAGATACCTCACATGCGTAATATGACCATTTTGTAAAGGCAACCAAGTGGATTTACCCTAGGTAATGCTTGTGTGCAAGTGTATTGTTTTAATGCTTGATTTTGTCTTTGATTAGGATTTTCTAAGCATTGGTTTTATTCTTTCCATACAAACCCTAATTACTAGCATTTGTATATAAAGCGATAAATTGCGGAATTTAAAGTTACTACGCTATTACAATACTTGTGGGAGGGGGTGTACAAATTATGAATGGGGATTGCAAGAAAATAAACCTATTTAATCTATTACAACCATATTGAATTTGTACAATAATTGAAATAAATAATGTGCAAATGAATGATTATTCAAGAATGTAAATGTGAAGAAAATGAGTATTTTTGTTTGGATTTTTTAGGAAAAGGGAACTTGTTTTAACCTAATTAATTAAAATAAAATAATTAATTAAAATAATAAAGGGTAAACCTAATTTTTATTAGGAAAAGAAATTAAATAAAACCCTAAATCTATTAATTGATTAAAAAGAAATTAATTTTAAGAAAAGTGTTTTTGGTATTTTTGTCTTAAAAATAGTTTATAGTATTA